AGTTCTCAAACAGTATAACGTTCGCTTATCCGTAGTCAAAACTTAACTGCCCCGGTAGCCGGCGATGCGTCGTATTTATACGAGTTACCAAACATCGAGAACCATCCACTTTGTTCGGGGATCGACGTGTTTCGCGAATCTGTAATCTAGTTGATGCGACAGATTTCTAGTCTCGTAATAATATGCTTGGACCGGAGCGCGGCGAGTAGAATACTTTTAAAATTCGTTGGCGGGCCGCATAAACATCGACAGCGGGCCGCATGCGGCCCGCGGGCCGCGGTATGTGCATCCCTGGTATAGACTGTCTTGAAATAAAATTTAATGTGGAGGATTTTTGGTATCCAAAGAAAGCCAAATTGGTAAAAACAAAACAGCAAAAATTCGATAGAAACTTAAAAATACTTTGCAAAACTTACTAAATAATTATCAAACAATACAATATTTTCAAAACAAAACAAATACATTTAAATATCTAGAATTTATTTTACATCTTTAAATACGTGGAAATACTTCAAAACTTACCTTAATATACGTTGAGAGCTTTCGAAACCTCTCTAAGTACCTGAAATCAAAATAAAAAAAAGTTTTGGAATACATAATAATAAATTCAAGACGCATCACCGTACATCACCACAACTTCAAAATACATCCGAATTTCTAAAATCGGCTTTAGAAACTTTCAAAAAGCATCAGAACACCTGTAACTATAACTACATTGAATCAGAAAACATTACAATGTATCGACATGGTCTTTGAATAGAAAATAAATGTCGCTTCAGAATGCATCAAATTTCCATAAATTCGTTGTCAAATTTTCAAATTAAAATAGTCTGGAATACCATCAAAATATTAAATTAAATAAGGCAGAATAAAAGTTGTGCTAAAATATATCTTAAATTTCCAAAAACTTTGAAATACTTACCGCAAAAACACTAAATACTTCTAAATACTTTCAAAAATTTTTGAAATAAATCTAATTTCATCTAAATTGTCTATAAATGGTAAATACAAATGAGAATAAATGTCTAACGTCTAGACAGGCTTCGAGTGGCAAGACATGTTATTAAATTTAACATTTTGTGAAAACGGACATAATTTGCGTCTACTTTACTAAACTATAATGAAAATTGCATTGTGAAATTGGATTCCACTATCAAAACTAACTTAATGGGGCTCATATTCTTTGAGACATTTTCATTCTATTAATATTTGCTACTGTAACTGTAGAACAAGCAGTAGCAGATGCATCATCAGCATTTTGTCATTAAAAAATTTTCTTCCGAATTTTGATTTTCTGTTAAAGAGAATCTTTGACATATCCTCCAGCTGCTTTCTTGCTTTTCCAATCTCCAAAACATTTGAAAGTATCTAGTGATGTAGTGCAGTTTGAAAGGTACATCTTCCTTGTCCGTCTTCTTGTTTTCTGCGGATGCAAATATAGGTAATTTCGATACAGTTGTATTGGGCTAATGCAAAAAGGATCACTTAAAATAGTGAAAGATCTTTCCTTCTGAGTTTTTGAATAGATGACAAGCAGAATGTCAGTTTTTTCCTCTATATGCTCTTAGCACTAGTTCATCACATCTGCTCCCAACAGCAACAGGAAAAACAGCAACCACTTAAACGTAAAACAGTTTAGTAGGATAACCTGTTACTGATAAATAATAGTAAGAATAAATAAAAAGCTATCATCTACTGCGTCTACAAGAAATTTGTTGATTTTTTCTCTTGAAAAAAAAAAACGACGGAAGCTTCTATTTTATAAAAGCAGAAACGTGTGATGCTGTCTTCAGTTTTGTAGACATTCAACGTAGATTTGCTACAAGGATATTTTTTTTTACATTGCAAAATTAGTAGTAAAAAAAATGTGGAAAATTTTCAGAATTAAATAAAAAGAACAAGTTTGACTGAAATTGGATGAAACTACAGGAAAAGATAACTGTTGGGGTGCTCAAAAAATACCCGCAATCCAGACCCCCAATTTCTAAATGGCGGCAAAATTATAAAGTCGAAAACGCGAGCGCATATGTTTTGCCCAAGTCAAGATATAAGCGAAAAACTGAAAAAAGACCTTTTTTTTCTTATAAAAGACCTCAACAAATACACAAATTTAGGTTTCTGTTCTGTGTATTTTTTACTGAATTTTACACCCATAAGATTCGACTTAGGCCTGATTTTTGATTAATTTGCCCGGACTATATTTATAATACTAACTCCTTGACTGATCCTTTTGGTACAAGGGGTCACTTATTGCAAAATTTTACATATCACAGGGATGTCCAATTAAATAGAAACAGTAATAAATAAATAATTGGGTACAGACAATACCTATACGTTCAATATTTTCGCAAATCCTGCTATTAATTAAAACAAGTATTTGTAGACATCCTTTTGATTTTGCAAACGGGCTCCTTTCACCTTTTAGTCACGTTGAAGATTACCTTGCGTACCCTGTCCTCATATCGAAGTAATAAACTTTCCGGGGGCACTATGTAATTTTCCGTTATTATCTCTTCTCGAATAACCGTCCATATAATGAAGCCTGTTTATTTTTTACCGCCCTTAAATCGCTTAAAATATTTCCAGAATTCATCTCGTTATCTATTGCCATTTTCCAGTTCCTTTTCGCGTCCTTTGGTGGCGCGATCCGCTCTTCCTCGAATTTTTATATGAAAATATCGAGGTACTTTATCTAACTTCTTATTAAGTCCTACAACGCAACATAGAATGTCTCACATTCTTAACATTTTCATAAAAACTTCGTTTACCGTAATAATAACGATGGATGGATGGTAATTTCAACGGGGGATGTCGAGATCTTCGAGTAAATTGTGATTAGGAAATTATTCATGGCCTTTTATTGCATCTTTGGGACGCGATGTGTGGGCATTTTCCTTTTTTTGTTGCTGTAATCAGTTCTGAAATATTAGCGTTATAAAACGTGAGAGTTAGGTATCACCTAGCACTCATGACTAATTCACTCATTGTGAAGATATTTTAGAGAACAGGACATTTTAATTGCTAAAGAATTATAATTAATTCCATTTGAATTTGTTACTTTTGACCAGTGTTCAGTATTCTGTCAAATGTTCGAAACATTAGTAAAATTTGATCCTATATTTTTCCCTCGCCCTAATGACACAAAGTTCTGTTATTTATCATTACGTTGATGCTTTTGAGGGACATGTCCTGTGAGTTTATTTTTGAAGGTGATTAATGAAGCTTGTCAAAAAACCCACAAAGCCGTAGGTAATCGTTCAGTGTTTTATTGCCACCGTTGAACTTGAAATTTGCTGAATCTAAGAAATTTTATAAATGGTTATCCATTAAAAGTTTTCGTTAGCAGATTGAGAAGTATTTGCTTTCTGTGTGAAATTGCCTTCGAAGCTTAAATGAAAGTGCAGTTCAAGTTCTTATGTTTTGGTAAAAATAAACCGAACCTTCAAAATAGAACCGAATTGTACCAAATAGAAGTCACATAAACATAAATAGACATTCAAATGCATATGAATTTTAATCAATACTCTTTATCTTTACAGGAAGTTGCACGAATAACGATAAATACGAATAGAAAAAATAATAGCTATTTTTAACCGCACAGTTAAATAGCTGTCTATCGGAATATGTCTAACTGCCGTTCGGTAGAAAATGTCTGATCAAAGAACGTATGCATGTGACGATTTAACCATGTAGTTAAAAATAGCTACGATTAGACTGTGTAGTCAATTTTTTCCGATATAACTGTGCATTTAAATATAGCTGCGATTTAACAGTACATTTAAAAATAGTTATTATTAGTTAAAAATAGCTACGATTAAACGGTGCCATGAAATCACTTCGATGTTAAGTTAAATATCGCAACCATGTCGTAACAATTTAACTGTGCAGATGAAAATAGCTATGACTAAACTGTACAGTCAAATTGCGTCGATTTAATTGTGCGTTAAAATGGTTGTGATTTAACGGTGTAGTTAAATATTGCCACCATGTCGTAGAAATTTAACTGTGCAATTAAAAATAGCTACGATTAAACTGTAAAATCACTGTGATTTGACTGCGTTTAAAAATCGCTACGATTTAGCTGTCTAGTTAAATATCGCAACCGTATCGTAACAATTTAACTGTGCTGCTGAAATAGCTATGACTAAACTGTGCAGTAAAATTGCGGGGATTTAATTGTGTGGGTAAAATGGTTGTGATTTAACCGTGTAGTTAGATATTTCCATCATGTCGTATAAATTTAACTGTGCAATTAAAAATAGCTACGATTAAACTGTGCAATAATTGCGATTTAACTGCATTTAAAAATCGTTACGACTTAGCTGTGTAGTTAAATATCGCAACCGTATCGTAACAATTTAACTGTGCTGCTGAAATAGCTATGACTAAACTGTGCAGTCAAATTGCGGGGATTTAATTGTGTGGGTAAAATGGTTGTGATTTAACCGTGTAGTTAGATATTTCCATCATGTCGTAGAAATTTAACTGTACAATTAAAAATAGCTACGATTAAAATGTGCAATCATTGCGATTTAACTGCATTTAAAAATCGTTACGACTTAGCTGTGTAGTTAAATATCACAACCGTATCGTAACAATTTAACTGTGCTGCTGAAAATAGCTATGACTAAACTGTGCAGTCAAATTGTTGCGATTTAATTGAGCGTTTAAAAATGATTATAGTTTAATGATGTAGTTAAATGTTGCCATCATGTAGAAATTTAACTGTGCAGTTAAAAATACGTTACGATCTGAATAGTTAAATATCGTTACTATATTGTAGTAATTTAATCGAGCAGTTAATAATAGCTACTCTATTAAACTGTGTAGCCAATAGTCGCGATTTAAATGTGCGATTCAAAAACTGCTACGATTTAACTGTGTAGTTAAATATCGCTACCATCGCTGACATTTTCAAGTTCTTTGAACGGTTTTATCTATCCATATTTCCGTTTTTGTTATCCATGAGGATAATTTGTGATAATAATATTTCTTTTCAGAGATTTGAAACTGGATAATGTGCTTCTGGACTTCGATGGTCACGTGAGAATAGCAGACTTCGGAATGTGCAAATTGCAGATATTCTTAGATAGGATGGCAGAGACTTTCTGTGGCACACCTGACTACATGGCACCTGAGGTAAAGATTTTTCGTTACGTTTTGCTTTTAATATCGGAAACAAGATGTACTAATTAAAAAAAGTGGTAATGGATGTTAGACATTGTTATTTTTTGTGTATATTAATAGTTTCAAAGTAAATTTGGACAAAAAATGGTTGAATAAGAAGGGTTTATATTTAAAAATAGCATAGTTTGATTGTTTTTTCATTGGCTTGGCATTTTCAGATAATAAAAGGGCTACACTACAACCAGTGCGTGGATTGGTGGTCGTTCGGTGTGTTATTATACGAAATGCTGCTAGGTCAGTCTCCTTTCAGTGGTTGCGACGAGGATGAACTTTTCTGGTCGATATGCAATGAAAAACCAGTACTTCCCAGGTACTTGTCCACAGAAGCAACTAATATTTTGACACTGGTAAGTAATTATTCTCAATTGCTTATCATCCACTTCGACATTGGAATTAAAAAACATGGGAAGCAAATAATGAAACTATTTTTTTCTCAATATTTATTTACATGTACCTAGTAGTTTTGATTGTATCTATTTCAAATATCCTTCTCAGCACTTTGAGTTTACTATTTGGACTTCCTTTAAAATTGGAAAGGCTTCTGTTGTTAGTAAGATTTAACCACCAGACATATACCGGTTTCGGAATTATTAGTCCTTATCAGTACGCAGAAGGTGATTATCTAGCCAATTTTTTTGAGTGAGTGAATAACCTACTTATAACACATTAGCGACAAAGTACAGTATTACAAAATAATATCTATTCGTAATAGTTTTTGTTAAGCTAAAAGTTATTATCTTTGCGAAGTATTTCACTATTCTTTTGTATCGTTGGATTTTCCTTAAAGTATCTGTCATTTTGCAGTTTTTAGAAAAGGACGCAAGTAAAAGACTAGGGAACAGATTTAGTCCTCACGGAGATATCCAAGACCAGCCATTCTTCAGGTCCATAGACTGGCGTGCGCTTGAGGCTAGACAGTTGGAGTCACCATTTAAACCGAACTTGGTAAGTACAACCTGCAAAAGTATTTGATATTAGGCAATTTGCAAATTTCATGTTTTTAATCTCATTCTCTTTGGCAATAAATTTGCACAATTTAATCATGCGTAAGTATCTCACGGTTTATTTTTTCGTAATATACATACTAAACACAGCTATTATACAAGTAGCGCTCTGTATGTTCGTAATCTTGGCTGTTAAAATGTATATAGTGAACGCAATGAACATAGCTACATAGCGCATCTTAGTATAACTTAGCGCTACTTTAATACACACAACGAGCATAATAAATATAGCTAGCATAACTGTAATATTGGCTGTTTTAATTCTTATTTTGATCGCAGCGAACATAGCTAACATAGCTAGCTAACACTCCATACAACTTTAGTACAGAATATTAACTAAAATAATATTCTGTGTAATCTTACTATAACGATCATACACCGCTATTTGAATAGGTATCAACAACGAACATAGCAAATACAGCTACGAGTATCATGGCGCTCTTTGTGTTTGTACTATCGACTGTTTTGATGTATTCAGCGAACACGGCTACAACAATGATCTGTGTAGCCCTAACTCAAGTTTCACAAACAGTGTTTTCAATATTCACTGCGAATCTAGCAAACACAGCTAGCATAGTGCTCTGTTTAACGTATATAGCGAACGTAGTGGGCATAGCTAGTATAACACTGTCTAACTTTGGCATAACTTTCACATAACGCTACTTTTAACACCCGCACCGAACATAGCTAACACAGCTGGCATAGCGCTCTGTGTGACCGCAATATTAGCTGTTAAAGTATTCAGCGAACATAATTAACATAACACTGTGTTTGTAGCAGACAGTTAGCATAGTATAACGAGCATAATACATAAATATAGCTAGCATAACGCTCTGTGTGGCTGTAATATTGACTGTTTTTACTCTTATATTGATCGTAACGAACATAGCTAACATAGCTAGTATAACATTATATAACTTTCGCAGCGAACAGCTAATACAGCTCACATAGCGGTCTATGCGAACATAGCTAAAAAACGTCCTGTGTAACCTTAGCATCACATTCGTATTTTATTTGGATACTAACAACGAACATAGCAAGCACAGTTAGCACGTCGCTCTCTGTGGTTCTAACATTGGATGTTTAACGTATTTGCGAACATAGCTAAAATCGTGCTTTGTGTAACGTTAATCAACTTTCACATAATACTATTTTTAATATCTATAGTGAACACAACGAACGTAGCGCTTCGTATGACCCTAGCATAAGTTCACATAGTTATTCTTCGATTAATGATGATTTAGTGTTATGTGTTCTTCTGTTTCAGCAACACCCCCTGGACACCCAATACTTTGACAAGCACTTCACCGTAGAAAAGGCCAAGCTGACGCCCATCGAATCGACAATATTGCAGTCGATGGACCAAACCCAATTCCAAGGGTTCAGCTACACCAATCCGAACGCGACAGATAAATGATACGGTTCAACGCAGAACCGAATCGGCTAGACTGAGACATAGCCCCGAGCTATTTAAACATTGGAAGTTGAATAAAAAAATTCAACGAAATAGATGTATTTTGATGTTTTTTGTAAATACTCGCGCCTAATCCAGTTCCCGGTACTGGTCGGGAGACTTTTGGTGAAGACGACGGGAATTTTTGTTTAATTTTTTTAAGAAGTGGTCGATGCAACAGCCACTGTGAGGTAAAATACTACAGTATATACGAAGTAATAAGTGTGATATAATTTACTACTAGGGTTAATCGCTATGTTTTGTCGGGTATATTTTTTTAGCTTTCCGAGTTTCTGATCCATGTTTTTCCCAGTGCAATGAATAATAACAGTATTCGTAAATGCTAGTCCTTTATTACAGCCTGTTCTGAACATACCAATAAAATTCGAAACAATTCAGTATGTTCAGCTGATTCAGATTTCTTTTTACGTAACAAACGGTACAGTGTTGCCCACATTAAATGAATGGGTTTATGTATACAAGGTGGTTCGATTTTTCTCATTAAATTCAGGAACAGGTAAGTTATCACAAAATAATAGCAGTTAGCTGGTATATTCTTTCCGAAACGTGTTTACTTTTTAGGATACGAGGTGCTAAATTTAAAGTAAGCAGTTTCTTAATGTATTTTCAATTTTCCAGTTTTATCAGTGGCGTGGAAAAAGGAGTGCCTCAATTAAAAAATTGATACGCCACTGGCAACAATAACAATATTTATATAAAAAATGCCTCAATCAAAAGTTGCACCTTTTTAATATTATTTTCTATTACACAGGGATCCAATTCATTTTTTAAGTGGACAGAAAAATGACGTACAGTTTTCTTCCGTATTATTTCATTTTATGACAATATCTAAAAATGTGGCAAACATCCAATGTACGGCCCTGGAATGTACGGTTAACCGACGGACCGCAGTTATTAACCTTAAAACGTTTTTAATAAATGCATGTTGTTTAGAAACAGTCAGATTTTTAATTAAAAAATTAAATTTTACATTTTGCCAGGGGCGTACCGTTATTACTTTTCATAAATGCATATGCCACTTTAATTTTCTACAACACTGACGTAAAAACAGTCCGCAAATTTTCAACGAAAATATCAAAGAAAAAATCATCTCTGAAATAGTAATTTTTTTTACTAAAGTTGACAGAAAAAAATAACGATTTTATACAAAAACAAGCAAATGCGTAAAGTGTTCTTCCGTATTATTTCATTTATGGCAATATTTGAAAATGTGGCAAACATCCAAAGTACTGCCCTGGAATGTACGGTTAACCGACGGACCTTAAAACGTTTTTTAATAAATACGTGTTGTTTACAAACAGTCAGATTTTTAATTAAAAAGTCAATTTTACATTTTACCAGAGGCGTACCATTATTATTTTTCATAAAAGCATATGCCACTTTAATTTTCTACAACACTGACGCGATCAAAAACAGTCTGCAAATTTTCAACGATGGGATATCTGGAAAATATTAGAGAAAAAATCATCTCTGAGACAGTAAATATTTTTTCCACTAGAACAAAATTGACAGAAAAAATAACGATTTTCTACAAAAACAAAAGAATGCATAGTTTTCTTCCGTATTATTTCATTTTATGGCAATATCTGAAAATGTGATAAATATCCAAAGTACGGCCCTGGAATGTACGGTTAACCGACGGACCTCAGTAATTAACCTTGGAAGGTTTTTAATAAATACATGTTATTTAGAAAGTCAGATTTTTAAATAAAAAGTCTATTTTGTATTTTGCCAGTGGCATAACGTTATCATTTTTTATAAAAGCATATGTCACTTTCATTTTCTACAACAGTGACGAAACTAAAAAGCTGAAAATACATTTAGAGAATGTGATTTTACCGAAAAAAATAAAACAGTTTGCAAAATTTCAACAATGAAACATCTGGAAAATATCTAAAAAAATTTTCGTGTTTTAAAAAGTATATATTTTTTCCAATAAAATAAATATGGGTAAAATAAGCAACAAATTTAGAAAGAAAATGTATAATTTTTTAAAAATTAATTTCCTCAAGGTCAAAATTCTTATTTTTTTATTCATCTAGAGTGAAAGTAGCCAAACCACTTTATTTATCAACTTATCAACTAAATTAAATTTTACTCTTTTTATGGCTAATTAAAGGTTGTGACGCTTCTAAAAAACTTTTTTCTAATGTAACCTTCATTGCGCAGGCGTTTGTGGTAAACTGTGCCAACTCTCTCAAATCACACTTCACACCAGACAACAGTTTGTTCATTGCCCAGGAATTAAGTCAATACAATCAAGTTCATCATCTGAGATTCCTCAGGGTCCAGTTTCGGGCCCATCATTATTTAACGTTTATGTAAATGACCTTACGGTCTTGGTGTTTTTTTTGTAGATAATAAGAAAATCTTCTGGTCAGTTTCTAATGTTGTACACTGTGAATTGTCACAGGAACATGAACAGATTAATGACTGACGTAATTTAAACCACCATCTCAAAAGAGCAATATTATGTCCTTTTGTTGCAAGCAGAGAACATTAATCTTTCATAACTTCACTCTTAAAACTAAAAAAAAAATAAAATAATAAAATTGATTGAAAGTATAAGTGTTAAAATGTAATTTCAAACAGAAAGCACTAAAAAATATATAATGCATCCTCTTTGATTTTTTTCTATACTAGCATGTCCTTGCAAATGGTTTTTGCTATTGGGCAAGTCTATATTAAAATAAAAAAATAAATAAAGAAAAACAAAATATAAAGAAGTTCACTACATTAAATTGTTTACATCTTGGTGAACTAAATTTTGATTAAATCAATTTTATTTCAATTTCAAGTGAACCTTTTTGTATTGGGTCAACGGGCACATAACAATTTGCACTACTTTTAGAATCTACCCGACCTTTGATGATAGAAATCCAATCACCTTGTATATAATTTTAAAATTACCTGAAATACTGAACCAAAAAAAAAAAACTCTTTAAACTGAAAACTTTGACGTTTGATGTGGGCAACACTAGATTTTTTTTGAACAGTTTTTGTAAACGAGATTTTTTAAATAATTTTTGTGGTACTTGGGCAGATCCAAAACTGAGTTTGACCCACTTGATGACCATTTTCTTTAGTACAGTACAAGCTGTATTAAATGTTTTTTAAATTGTAAAATTCCCTCCAGTGACATTTAATACATGCAACACTGTGGCTTTCTTAAAACAAACTGTTACGTTTTCAATTACCCAACTCTGTATGTAATATTTTTATTTCTACCCCTCTCGTATTTTGTATATCGGTATATTTGTACATAAATCCTTATCGTTAGTGATTTGTATTGGATATATTTAATTATATTTATTTGAATACTTACGTGTTACAAAGAAATGTTGTCCTCCTGTATGTGATGTACACGACTTGTTGAATATTGTACAAATTAAACGTAGTTATAACTGGTGGTTTAATTTGTGAACTCTATCCCGAACGGAGCTATGAGGCTCGAGGCAAGCACGGCCTGCTTGGATCCGTTCCCTTCTCTGTCCTAAAACAAAACAATGACGTATGTATTACTGCTTCTATTCCAAACGCCCCAATTGGACTTAAATCTGGAGACAGTGCAGGGTGAGTAGAAAGAAACCATTAGGTATGTTCTGATTCCTTCATTATTTTATTATTTAGTGAAAGAATGACCTCAGAAATAGAAGAAAAGTAGATCAATTTCATGTTAAAAGTTCAGTTTGTAATTTTTGGTCGCTTGTTGTGATGTTGAATAACTGTTTTTGTAAAGTTATTTAATTTTTGTTTTTAATTTTATTTTATAGAAGACAGTGGTGTACGCAATATTTTTTTTATAATTTAGTTAAATTATAGTTCAAACTTATTTCTGTTTAACGTAACGTCCGCCCTTAGGTGTTCGTTTTTCGAGTCGTTCCATTAAGATCTCAATTATCTTAACAGATACACGGTCAAGCAAATTATGAGTGAAATTGATAACGAGTTTTTTTTTACTTAAAATTTTGAATTTCGTTATTTATTAAATCGAAAACGGAAAAAGGCGGATATTGAATTAGATTTACTCTGTACATTACGGTGTGGTGGCCCAAAAAAACCGAATATTTTCTTTCGTGTCTTGAGAAAATATGTTAGTTTATCATGGTTTAAGAGCCCCCTCAAAAAATCAGCTCAAAAAACAATTTTTTTTTTGAGGTCGCTCAAGATTTTTAAAAATTTCCAAAAAAGACAAAAATTATTTTTTTCTCGTTATTTTATCATTTTCTAGGTTGAAATAAATCTCCATTCTGAAAATTTCAAATCGATATTTTAATTTCTAAAGGTCACTCATAATTATTTTAACTTTAAAAGTAGTGTATAGGTACCTAAAATGTTTTCGAGCGACCTCTAAAAATAAATATCAACGAACTAATAATTTTTTTATTGAATTTGTTGAACAAAAGAATAGAAATAAATCAGGAGACACTTAAAAAATTTCTCGAGGCAAAACGTACTACCTCACTGTGAGTATCAAATATTTATAATTTTTTAATTCTTTAAAATTTAAGTGTCTCGTGATTTATTTATATTCTTTTGTTCGCCAAATTCAATAAAAAAAATTATTAGTTGATATTTATTTTGAAAGTTAAGATAATTATGAGTGACCTTTAGAAATTAAAATATCGATTTGAAATTTTCAGAATCGAGATTTTTTTCAACCTAGAAAATGATAAAATAACGAAAAAATTTTTTAAATCAAATTCAATTTTTGACGGTTTTGGAAATTTTTAAAAATCTTGGGCGACCTCTAAAAAATTTTTTTTGAACTGATTTTTTGAGGGGGCTCCTAAAACATAATAATCTAACATATTTTTACAAGACACGAAAAAAATCTTTTTTTTGGTCATCCTCCGCTGTACATACATACTATTATTTCAGATGATTTCAATAATTTTTTTGCCAAGGTTTCAAATGTCATATAATTCGATTGAAATTACTAATTTAGATCCCAATATCTATGAGGAAAAAATACGTAAACCTCCTTTTTCTTTTTTTATGTCCGACCTTTTTGAATCTGACGCGAAATAAGCTATATTGAAATTAAAAGTTTCGCATACTTTAGGCTGGTACAATATTAATAGTTTCGTCCTTCCATAAATAAGATCCACTTCTTATTTGTGAAGGGCGAAATAGGCGTTGACTATTAGACGCCTTCATTATAGCCATCCTTGTCTATCACATGGATTTCTATGGCTTACTTTATCGCTCTCACGTAACTTCTGATAGACCATCGGTACTTTCCTACCTTGTATAACTGCTAGGCCAATCAATAGAGGTTTTGTTTGTGACAAAAATCCTAGTAGCAAACGGACTGTGCCATCATATAAAAGACAGTTTGTAGATATATGCTTATACAGGGTGATTAACAACTTATCCGAAAAAATTTGGGAATAGATGCGGCATGAGAAATGGAGTCTACATCGTAAAAAAAAAATTGTAAAATCGTTATAGTTTCCGAGAAAAAAATTATTGAAGTTATAGTACATTCAGCCACTACATAGCTTGACAACTGTAGTCTCTAGCGTCATTTGCAATACGCGTGGAAAGCCACGTGGCTTCAGCGACTCCGAATATTTTGCAATCGTCGTTGCGATAGTGTTTATCTGTTGTCTGTGGTGTTTACAATAGTTTTTTAGTAGTTAGCGTCAAAAATGGTTTATGTGTAAGCAACTCGGAGTTGATGGATATCGTTTTAATTTATGGTGAAGTAAGACAACATTTGTATTATGGTGAAGCATTTGTGTTATAGTGAAACAAGACAGCATTTGTGTTAGTTCGTGGAAACTGAGTAAGATGAACCCAAATGTGTTTACACGTTGGTGGATAAAATTTTGAACAATTGTTGTAACATCGGGTATGTCAAATGATTTTATTATTTAAAAACACAAATTAATTTTATTAATTAATAATAACAATAAAGGCAAAAGCAGTTGAATTGCTGATATAAAGTAGATGCTATAAAAATCTATTTATTTCTTTCCTTGCGAAAGTTTTTTGTCCGTTTTTATCACACCGCCATGCCAGTCGCATTGTGCGCGGTCAGGTTTTACAGTGGACCAGTTTCCAGTGCCGTGCAGAGGTGTCTTTTAAATCATTTTCGAACTTGCCCTCTTTGATTTTTTCTCTACAAAATTGTATTTGTAAGGGTCCCCTGTACAGCCAGAATTTTTTTTTGGAGAAGTTGTGAATCACCCTGTATATTTGCTACTCCAATTGACCATTATTTAATATTTTGTAAACATTTTTACGAAAAAAAAATATTTTTTTTAGTTTTTTGCTTATATAAAACCTAAACTAACGAAGCAATTTGAATGCTATAAAGAGGCAATTTAAGAGAATCGAAATACGAATAAAACGAGAGGTCGATCGGATAATTAGAAAAGAAGAAAACACGGAAAATCGGAAAATTTAGCGTTTTTTTTAAATTCATTACTCCGCCATTATTGTAGAGCCTGTGCACAAAAGTAGTAAAATATATGTACTCTAAGTGTGCACAAAGCAGCCGCTGTGGGACCATTAGTTTTGGCACAATTTTAATTTTTCTGTCGGATTTTAAAAGTAGAGGTGTAATACTACAAAACGTATATTCCAGTTTTCCAATAAAATGATGCGATAGGTGAAAAATTCCCCTAAACGTGCTCAAAAACGAGCGAGCACGCGTACGCTGTCGAGTAGTGGAGGAAGGTCGAGAGATGGGGCAGTATACAAGATATACAAATATTTGTAATTGAAAATTGCTTGTTTCAAGATTTTCTGAGATCTATCTATTTCTCTCTAATAAATAGTCATTTGACTTATGGGATTGTATTTTGGGGGCATTCAACATCGTTTAGAGAGTCTTTTGTTCGCAGAAATCGGCCATGCGTCTCATTAGTAATTCTCCACCAAGAGCTCATTGTCAGCCTTTATTTAAAAAATTAAAAATGTTTCCATTACCTTGTTTATAACATACTAGAGTCTCTACTCAAGGTTCATCGCAACATTAAAGAATTTAGACATAATTATGATAATCACAACTATAATGCACGCAATGCTGACGATCTGACTGTCCTAAAATCCAGGATCGACATTGTTTAAAAATTAGCTTGGACTTAAAACTTTATAATTTCTTAGTAACTAATTTCACTCAATGCAAACTTATTGAAACTATAATATTGAGGAAATAAGAAGTGGATCTTATTTGTGGAAGGGCGAAACGGGCGGTAACTATGAGACGCCTTCATTATAGCCATCCTTCTCTATCGCATGTATTTCTATGTCTTACTTTATCGCACTCACGTAACTTCAGATAGACCATCGGTACTTTCTGACCCTGTAGGTATACTAGAGCCCTTTCAATGACAAGTTTTTCGTGCGTGTTTAGAGTGAGTGTACTTACATTAGAATACCTCAGCAAGTTGCCCACGTAGAGGCTCTTGGCGACCTCGTCGATGCCGTTCCCAGGAAGGGGCGCGGATATGAAGTAAGGCACCAGACTCAAGTCGTACGACGGCGGGGGCCTCGCGGCCCTCTCCACCTGGATCCTCCGCAGCTCGTTCCTCTCCCTGACCACCATGCAACACGCCCTCACCGTGAAATAGTACAGGATCTCGACTCCGGACAGTAAGCTGAACCCCAGGAACAATCCGGCGATGCCGCCGAACGAAACTGCGGAGATAAATTTAGCAGTCGACATTTTTGTTTTATTGGGCCGTTAAACTGGCTTTGTGTATACTGCTTTTCGTTCCTAAACGTATTCGGATGGGGGTCTGGGGGTTACTCGAGATCATTCGGATGATACAAAGTCTGTTTAGGGCGAGTTGGGATGCAACACTTGATGAGCTTGAGCTTATCGATTTGTCGCTTAGCGAGATCGTTGAAATGAGGAAGATAATTGAAAATTGTTATACAGAGAGTGAGAATTTCGATCCGGAAACTTAATTCAGCAATAAACAAACAAATAGTTTCGTGCCAAAGGAAAAGTGCACGTAATTTATTTTTCTATTGACTTTCCAGATATTTTAATTTTATTCCTACATATCCAACAGCAAGCAACATGTTGAATATCATGGTTCTAAGTCTAATCTGTTTCTGGCTTTATCTGGTGTTCCCCAAGGGTCAAAACTTGGCCCATTGTTATTTATGTTATCTATAAATGATGTCACTGTCGATCTTGATGATATGAAGTTGTATTATACTGTCAACAACTGTTATGATTGTGAACTAGTAATCTTAATAAAACTAATGAATGGTGTTTTCTGAATCAGCTCCCTCTAAACTTTAGCAAATGGAATATTTCTGACTTTCAACGAGAAAATATTCCTTTAACTAGGGTCGTTGAGTTGAAAGATCTAGGGGTTCTGCTTGAATTTAAATTAACCCTTAATAAACATGTTGATAATATTGTTATATCTGCAAACAGAAGCTTGGCCTTAGTTATTCGAAATTCAATGGATTTTGACTACATTCAAGTTTTAAATTTACTATACAGTGCGTTAATGATGAAAGGAACAAATTAGTTTAAAATTCAGGTAATTATTTTGTGGAAGAACGCTCGGACACGTCGATTAGTATTTTTAGTTGCGGATTTTTTGACATAAGAAAATTGTATAGAGGGTGTCTCAAGAAGAGCATAATACAGTCATCATTGATTTTTTTAATGGAACACGCTGTATATCTTTGAATTGTACGGTAAATTCTGAACATTTTTTGTATAAAACCATATTTTTAAAATCAGCAATCAGTACAATTAGAAAATGGCATAATATACAGCATGTTCCATTTAAAAAAATCAATGATGACTGCATACGTTCTTTTTGAGACACCCTGTATACAATTTTCAAGGGAGAGAAAGGATGGGAGGATTTGAGAAATATATATTATAGGTAGAAATAATAATAATAATAATAATAATAATAACTCTACTCCTCATTCTAACTACGAGAATTAGCCCAGAAGTCGGAGACTTGTGCGGGAGAGGAGGCGGCATATTATTATTACGCAGGCCGCATTTGCGCCCAGGAACGACTTATGTTGGTAGGCCCTAACCACCATTCAGTGCATGAATGAGGGAAACCTGGAAAACCTCATTAATTAGGGGGGTGGTCAAATGCCAACCGGTGTCAATCTCTCACATTGACCCAAGCCAACATTCTTCCACCCTACCATACCTGCACAGAGGGTGCCAATCCTCCGTACAAGCATAGCTAATCTACGGTCTACCGGCCGCGGGAATCGAACCCGGGCAGAAATTTGCACACGATTAAAGGACTAACGCCTTAAACCGTGCGGCTATCGACCGAAATAGGTACAGTGAATAATTTTTTTTAGAAATATTTTTTATAAAACATTTTTAATACAAAAAAACAAAAAAATATGAAAAAAATAAAAAATTAAGAAATTCAACGAAAATTAGGTAAAACATAATCATCTCGAATTTTTTGCAACATTTATCTACCTGTTATAAAATCTTCATGGTTGTCAAAAATAAGCTTTCTGTGTATACTCATCATTGCTAAGCCACTGAGATGATTTTCTATCATAGTTTTTCTCAGCCATCCGGTTCTCATTCTTCTTTTTCTTTAATTTAAAATTCCAGAGCTAAATTTTTAAAATATGGAAATATGGAAATGTATTACTTTTTAACATAAAATTTTATATTTTTAAATTGTTTTGTCAACAAATATTTATATTAATTTATAACAATTGTTTTTAAAAAAAATAAAGTAGTTTATTAATTTTCAAAATTAAAGGTTAAGTAAATAAAATATTTTATTAAATATTTCCACTCTTATTATTTTCTTATAGACTAGGCGGTATCTGTTTTGGTTTGGGTGAATCGTATATCCATGGAGATTTTTGGCTTTTTGGCTTTCAAATATCACTAGAAACGAAAATTTTTCTATGCGCATAAAAAAACGTGGGCTTAACTTTTGGCGGCACAAAATGTTAAAAAAAGTCAAAAAATGTCATATTTTTCATCCTATTTAATTATGTATCTTTTCAATAGTTGATTTTAGGCGAAAATGGAAAAGGAAAAAAATGTTTGTAATTAAATTTTTTACAATATATGACTAGTTACAAATCGAATGAATCATGATTATTATTATAAAAATCGAAAAATCGCCAAAATGGGTTTAAAAACATTACTTTTTAGGGAATTTTTTTGGTGTATTTAAATTGGGTGTAGGACCTTTATACTTGGCTCAAGAAAACTTCATGTTATGTAGAATCATCACACCAAATTTTATCAAAATTGGTTCTATAGATTTTGCATAATAATTTTGCAATGCAGATTTTGTAAAAAAATTTGCAAATTTTCAAAATTTTGCACAGCAAAAACCAAGGCCCTTAGATACTTGAAAATTTAATCACATATAGAAGGGCTCTCAAGCTTTCAAACGCTTTTTGAAAAATTCGAATCCGTCACTTAGGAGAGCAATGTTTAAACAGTGGTCGAATTTTTGTACTTATAAACAATTAGAATAACTTTGTGAATATTCAATCAAACCAAATTTTTTAAAGCAGGTTTTAAAAATTATTGGAAAGACGCTTCTTTTAAATAAAAAAAACTGATCGATTGGTCAATTAGTTACGTAGTTATAACCGATCAAAGTTAACCGTCATTTACACTAAATATACTGGGACATCCGAGCTAATTTTTCGAAAAATACCTTTGGTATTTCGAGTACTTACCAGGTATAAGTTTGCAACACTTTTCTTTATTGGCAACCTACTTTAAAACGTGTTTAAATTTATTTATGCAAGCAAATCTGGGTAGCACAATTATTATGCAAAATCTATAGAACCGATTTTGATGAAGTTTAGTGTGATGATTCTACATAACATCAAGTTTTCTTTAGCCAAGTATGAGGGTCCTATACCCAATTTAAAGTCCCCAAAAAAATCCTAAAACGTAATGTTTTTTAACCCCATTTTTGGCGATTTGTTTTAACATAAAAATATGACATTTTTCGATTTTTTTAAACATATTGTGCCGCCAAAAGTTAAGGCCACGTTTTTTTTATGCGTATAGAAAAATTTGAAAGCTAAAAAGCCAAAAATCTCCGTGGATATACGATTCACCCAAATCTGGACTTTTTGAAACAGATACCGTCTGGACTATTAGCTTAGGAAAATTTTTGTACTTTTTTCGAATTTCTAGGGCCCCCCTGCCCCCCCTTGGCGACGCCCTTGGTATAAGTTATTAAAGTCGCCCCCGAATGAACACATAGTATTATGAAACACCCTATGGATAGTATTTTCGCGATCATTATATTGTTTTTGAAAACTATCTAATTCTAAGGAACTTTGACATTGATAACTGGTACGATAAGCGTTGTTGGCTTACGTCGCCGTGATACAAATTTCGTCGTCGAAAACAGGAAAGATGTACTTATTTAATATGCTGCTTGCGCTCAATTAACAGTGTTAACAATTTTTTTCGCGGTTCGCATGTAGTCCGACCTTTAAAATTGCAGTAATAAAGAAAGATTATCCGGTATTAAAAACAGGTTTGTGTTTCCCAAGCTAAGTTTGTGCGGTGTATACGATGTGCTGATAAATGATTAATCATATTTAAATTGAATTTGTGTCTAAGATCTCAAGATTTAAACAGGGATTACATCGACTCGCAGGTAAGTTATGTATGTACGATTAAAGATGTTTCTGTGAAGGAAAATGTTTCCAATATAAGTACTATAGTTTATGTGCAACTAGAATAATACTAAAATAAATTACGACTACGATGTAATGCATTCTTAATTTTTTTAATATCGTTTCCTTTGCAGATAAATATTATGTTAAAAATCTAATATGTATAAATAAAAATGAAATGTAGTGATTTTTGGCAACGTCAGTATAATCTTACAATCGTGCGTTTCATTATTATCCACAACTAGGAATTGGTCAATTCTTTGTAAATAATTAAAATTAATAATTAATTTAATAAATGTAGAAACAATATTTGGATATTTATTTTTATATGGCATAAGGCTTACAAATAAATTGTGACCTTGAACTTATAGGCATGTAAAAGATTCACGATCATGATTATATAATTTACATGTTGATTGTTTAATTATAGGTATGTTGTATTTCTTTCACTTCTACAGGGTGATTTCACTTTAAATACAGAAACTGCAAGAATAATTTAACTGCCAAAAAATAAATAAAAGTACTAATAAATAACATTTTTCATTCATTTAATTTCTACAAAAAAACACCAGTGGCGTATTTTTTTCTTGGGAAAGTTAATATTTCATACAATAAAAGGTCTAAGTGAACACGCTGTAATAAATTTCATTCAAGACCGTCAGCGCATTATGAATATATGATAGAAAATACGTTTTTCTGTAAACTTTTAACACCCTGTACCTCGAATACCGCGTTCCCCATGAAAAAAAAAATTATAGAACAGACTACTAATTTTTTGGTAACGAATCTATTCCTGCTATTTTTGTATTTAAAGTGAAATCACCCTGTATATAACAGAACAAATATATTAGAACCAATAGGTATGTATTTGTTCAAAACAAATTGTAAGGTTTTCGATTATTTTTTGTGTTTGCCAATTTTGGAACTCAAATGCGTTGATCCAAATGTATAGAACGTTCGAAGAACATTTAAACTTTATACATGAATATAACCAATAAGCAAAGCAGGGCAATGTCATGTAAGATTTAGGGTAATTTGTAAACTATTAAATTTTTACTCACTGATTAAACGTGCAATATACAGGGTGGTCCGAATTTTATGCAGGAAACTTCGAAGACAGATAGATCTCTTTAAAATAATAGGAGTTTGCCTTATAAACATAGGTCTGGAACGGCCTCGTTTTAGAGATACAGGGTGTTGAAGTTGTTAAAAAATATATTTTTGTGTTTATATCTCAGGAATCTATTAAACGATCTCAATAAAATTTGGTACAAATAATGTATGATAGTAGGCCTTGCATTCCCTAAAATATGAGTTCTAAAGGTCTAACCAGTGGTGTACAACTGGACAGGGGTCACCCCCTTTTTATAAAAAAAATCTACGCCACTGTATTTTTTACAAGTTATTGTAACAGATTTACATTCTAATGCACTAAATACATAAAAAAGTTGACTTGAATTTTTTCCCTAAGGTTCACCATTTTCAAGTTATTCATACAAATACAATGCCACTTCAAATCATAATATTACAACAATGTTTATGCTTAAAAGTAAGTGCAATTTGTAAGCACATGAATAAAATTCTTTCCACATCACTTGTGAGGTAGTGTTCCTGGTGTGTTTGTTTTAGTTTACCCTGGAAGCATTAACTTTACAAATAAGAACAATTTAAATGAAAATAATAATAATAATAAAAATAAAAATAAAACATTTACCAAGCAACAACAACTAAACAGCAATTGTTTAAAATGCGAACCACCCACATCGATACATTTCTGACATCTTCTATTAATGGAAATAATTGAAACTAATATCATGTGGTGGTTTTCTTTTAATTCATTACACACGTCTTCTATTCGCTGCAGTAGTTGTGGTCTAGTATCTATTGGAGTAGAGTAAACTTTTCAGGTAGGTCACCCCAAACATAGAAGTCCAGGGAGTTTAGATCTGGCGATCTGGCTGGCCAAGACACTGGACCATCTGCACCATTATGGTTGACATTAACATTTGGTCTTCTACCCATTCATCATCTCATATAATTTTCATTAAGCCATTCTTGTATTATTCTCCTAAAATGCGCAGGAGCACCATCCATTTGTATCCAGCTATTTTGTCGTATATTTAATGGAACATCCTCTAATAATTCAAATAGATGGTTTTCTAGAAAGTTTAGAAATGACTCCGAATTTCATGAGGATTTTCTTGTGACCAAATATCCAGATTGTGAAAATTCACTACCCCTGGCCTTGTTAACGTAGCCTCATCGGTCCAAAGTATTTCTAGTAAGAATTCAAACAACCACTGATAAAAATTCAGGCGTCTCTCTGCATCTCCCAGAAGTAAATTTTACATAGGTTGTAAATGGTACGGATTTCTGTCATCCTTACGTAGAACTTTTCAAATTTTCGATTTAGTCACCCCAAGTTGCCGAGACGTTCTTCGTGTACCTACTTAGTCGAGGATCGTCGTCAAATCCTTTTAAAATTTCATTCCTTTGTCGTGATTTTCGAAATATTGTTTTAATCCAAAAAGATGAAAGCAACGAGTGTAAAGAATTTTGTTGATGTGCTTAGAAATTGCACTTACTTTTAAGAATAAACATAAATATTCTTGTAATATTATGGTTAGAAGTGTCTGCCACAAGGGAATTGCATTTGTATGAATAACTTGAGAACGGTGAATATTTGGGGAAAACATTCAATTTACCTTTTGTATTTTGTGCATTATAATATAATTCCGTTACAACAGTTTGTAAAAAATACAGTGGCGTAGATTTTTTATAAAAAAGGAGGTGACCCTGTCCAGTTACACCACTGGTTGAATCTTTAAATCTCATATTTTAGAGAATATAAGGCCTACTATCATACATTATCTGTACTAAATTTTATTGAAATCGGTCGATGGATTCCGGAAATATAAACAAAAAATATATATTTTTTAACAACTTCAACACGCTGTATCTCTAAAACGAGGCCGTTCTAGACCTAAGTTTATAAGGCAAACACCTACTATTTTAAAAAGATCTATCTGCCCTCGAAGTTTCCTGCATAAAATTCGGACCACCCTGTAGAGTAAACCTTAAAAGGTACATATAATTTTAAACAACGGTGCTGCTGAGAACATATAATTACTTAAGGGTGTATTATTCGATTGAACTGATTTCTTCGTGAGTGAAAGCGTAAACTTGAAACAAAATTTTATTTTAACAATGTTATAATATGTGTACCTCACTTAAATTTCACCTTGTATATTAGGGTAGCCCAATAACGACGAATATTTTTTTTCGTGTCTCTTGTGAAAATATGTTAGTTTATCATGTGTTAAGAGCCCCCTCAAAAAATCAGCTCAAAAAAAAATTTTTAGAGGTCAATCAAGAGCTTTAAAAATTTCCAAAATCGTCAAAAATTGAATTTTCTTTTTTAATTTTATCATTTTCTAAGTTGAAAAAAATCTCGATTCTAAAAATTTCAAATCGATATTTTAATTTCTAAAGGTCACTCATAATTATTTTAACTTTCAAAGTAGTGTACCTAAAATATTTTCGAGCGACCTCTAAAAATAAATATCAACGAACTAATAATTTTTTTTATTGAATTTGATGAACAAAAGAATAAAAATAAATCACGAGATACTTAAATTTAAAAAAAATTAAAAAATTATAAATACTTATTTGTGCGGCAGTAAATCTTGCCTCGAGAAATTTTTTAAGTGTCAAGCCCATCTCTTAAGGATATAAAACTCACATTTTGGGAAAGTTTGGCAAGATTTTATTAATTATTTAAAAAGTTATTAAAACAATTAAAGAAAAAGCACTTGTTTCTTTTAATTTTGCAATAACTTTTTTGTTTATAAAGCAATTTTAACTTATAAAGTTTCATTTTAAAGATGACTTTCCCTAGATCAAATCGTCTGTTGAAATTTTTTGCTAAGATTAATAGTTTTTTTACAATAACGTGTATAACAAAAAATTACGAATTTTTGACACTATACTTTTTTCATGACCCATTTGACGAGACGCCTTTTGTATTATCATTCCCAAGACTTTCCAACAATAAAATCACGCCCAGTAATCAATAAATTTCAAAATGTCAACTCAAATATAGAGTGTTCCATTTAAAAAAAACACAACTTTGGTCAGCCCTCCGAAAACGAATCCCCCCTGTATAAGTGAAATTATTTTTAGAATTACTCTGTAATATTGCTATAATTTCTAATCTATTTTTCAGATTATGGGGCATTCCTCGAATGGATACGTAAATTCTTCTAGAAATATTTCCGAAGAAACAAAATCATGGAAAGACGAATATCACAAGAGATTTTTAGAAGCATACATTCTCGTTTCGCTCGTCTGTATAATCGCCAACATACTTATAATATTTGTCATCTTAAAGTACAAGCGGTTACGTCAAGAAAAGTGGAACATTATTATCTTGAATTGGGCCATAATTAACTGCCCACTTATGATGACTGCTCCTATAACGTTTGGTTTAGCTGTTTATGCATCGCATTTGGTGCCACAAAGCGCCTTTTGTTTTGTATATCATATGGAATTTACTTTGTTTTTGATCGACATCGTACTAATTGTGATTCTAACCGTTTATTGGTACATGAAATTATACCACACCGAAAAACATAAGAAGTTTGATCAGCATATCAAATGCGTTTTAATATTCGTTTACATTTTCTTAATATCACTCACAGCTTTGAATATAGATGCTTGTTTTAATTCGCGGATTTTCACACTGACGGGACTAATTTTGGTCATCACCTATTTGGCGTTTGTTTTGTTTATGCCCATTATAAATATCGTGCATGCTGTGAAAAAACGGAGACTAGTAGACTACAGCAATCGGAAAAATGTTCCGTTTATGCTGTCTAATATACTGTTCTTATCTCATTTGCCAGGTTTTTTAGTCTTGTTCGCCACACCTTTCCTCAGTCCTTTTACGAATCAGATACTATCGAGCATAGCCTTCTTCATTGCAATTTTGAATCCTGTTTATTTTTTCATAGTTTTGTATCACGGCGACAGAAATTACAACATATTTTTAAAGCACGTGTTTAGCTGTAGATGCAGGGAATACAACGACGAACTTGTAGAACAACCTGTCAGTTATAACAATGGAGTTGAGAATAAATGCTGAGGGAATGTTAATAATTGTTTTATTTACCATTTTTACTTACCATTTTATTTACCATTTATTTTTTACTTTTTTTCTCACGTGAGGCAAAAATGAAGGAATTGCAATATTCTGACATCTAAATAAAATTTATTGAAGGTTGTTTAACAATATTAAGGAATATGGAATGATTATTCAAATACTGGTCCGAACTGCTAAAATACTGCATTGAAAAGTTGGTTGAAAAAAGGCATTACCAGAATTTCATCGTTGTAGAAAGTGTGTTAAAAAAATTATATACACGATTTTTTACACTCATGTACTTTTAACACATTATGTTAAATAGTAGAAAACAGTATAAGGTGAATTTTTCTGAACGATTTCAAAAAAGTTACAAAGAGGTCTACAGACACAAATTTGGCCTTATTTACTCAATTTATTTTAAATAATTCAGATAACTATTGCCAGGCAAATTTTTCAGACATTCGAAAAAATTAAAATTAAGTCATGGAATCACAATTCCGCTGAATATACAGCGTGGTAAAAAAGTTCTGCATAAAATTCATATTTTCGTTAAACAATTTTTTTTTTCGAAAAACGGTGAGACCCGTCTATTTTTATTTGATCCAGGGCACCTTGTTATGTGTAAAAAATTTTTTTTTCGATAATCCACTTACGGCAGCGATGGCATAATTTTTTTTTTAATGACAACGCATATTTTTTTCGTTCGAAATTGATGACAGTGATAATTATCTAAACAACGGTATGAAAATTTCGATGTATTACATAACAATTTTTTTTAGAAAAATGCACCTTAAGTTCTTATAAGTGATAATTGTCTACTTACACTATTAATGGCTCAGAAAAGGACAAAGTTGTCAAAATTACATTTCAAACGAGTAAAATTACACTAATGTTTGTGTAAGTCTAGCGAAATTGTTCGAATTGCCCACCCTGTACTATTTGGCATTGTCCTAAGCGTGTGTAAACGCCGTCTACACTTCGTTCAAGCATTTCCGGGTCGATTTGATTTACGTTTACTGGCCGGTGGATCGGGCGACGTGGAACAATCGAGTGGCCTCCGCGTTCGCCTGATTTAACATCTCTAGACTTTTTTTGTGGGGCTATTTGAAATCGCGTGTGTACACAAACAGACCAGGTGATTTGGAAGAACTTAAAAACCGTATTCGTTTTGAAATGAATCAAGTCTTATTGTGAGCACCCTGTATGAATGAAATCAATGAAACTGCATGGAAACATTAATTAAAATTATGAAAAAAATACCTTAAAAATATTTTCCACTTAATACAAGACACTTTGCAATGAGTGAAATTTTTGCACCTATTTTGTGAACACTGCAAAAGCTATAAAAAAGAAACTTTGTATTTAGAGTTTTGAGGTGTGATCAAATCGAAAATGCTACCAATTTCTTTCTTAAAAAAATGCCTAATATGTTTTTTTAATTTTAAAAGGTCTTTTTTAGTGATAGTAGGCCTTAGAAAAGATCACATGTCAAAAAATATAATATCAAAAAGAAGACTTTTTTACTACATAAAAAAAGAACTTTGGAAATCGTCCAACGGCATTCTAAATACGGAGGTGTTCCGAATTTAAGTGAAACACACTGTATAGCAAATTCGTGACCACAGTTTGTAGATAATCTAAAGTAGGTAAAAGTTCTTTGCAGAAAGAGCAGTGTATGCTTTGTGCATGTACTCTATGACGATTAGTTGATGTCCACGAACGGTGTGCTGAGGTTCTGGCTCCACAATCTTTTCTGTTCTAATTTTCAAGCATGCACTCATACTTTCTGTTGTGCACAAATTTTCATATCTACTGACTCTGTTCTTCTTCATCCTATATTTTATAGGTCAAAGCAATCAGTTGTGCGAGAAATAATAAACTCAGCATTGGTGTAGCCAAGTTTCTGTTGCAACTTTTGGCATTTATTTATGCATATTGGGTAAAAGACAGTCATTGAGAGATAGAATTATATAATTTTAAGTATTTTAAACTCGATTTTATTCAATATCTACAAGAAAGTATTCTCAATCTACTTACTTTCTAGTCATAAAGAATATTTTACAAATATTTTAGTTATAAACGACATACTTAGATTATTAAGTTTGCAACGTGATTTAAATAATTTTCGGGATTGGTGTAAACTACATGAAAAATATAGGAAAATGTAAAATAGTTAGCTACACAAAAACCTACTTTATTGTCATTTTCGAATTGTCAATTTTATTTAGAACGAAAATGATCTCCTAACTGTTTTGTATAACTTTGTTTTTTTTGCAATTATTTCAGGACTTTGCAAAAAAACTTCAAAACAGCTCGAAAACTCTTTTTGGTAATATCTCTAATAACACCCCTTTGTTAGAATATGTAAAAATTTTTCTAATTTCACTCACCTAGTAAATCCACCCAACCAAAGAGGACTTCCCTTTTGTAGCGCACCATTGGCCAAGATGCAAACTCACAGTTCACTTTTTTCGCCACAGCGTTGTTGCTGCAAATAAAAATTGTTTACTGACAAATAGATAACACGATTTGTTTTTGTCTGTGAATATGTAGACACTTTATAAAGACGTTTGTTTATTTTTTTTACACAACCATTGGCGTAAATGTAGATTTCAGTGAAAACTAACTATCACGTGTCACTACAGATTAGACATTTCCTTTAATAAAATTTTCGAAATCCAACTTGACACACCTAAAATAAAATTTGGAACACGTGGTGTTAAATGGGATAAGGTAAGTTCCGTTTTCAATCGAAAGTATTATCTTTAGGATTTGACAGAAACGACTAGTGACACGATATAACTCTACAGCTCAACATATCAACTTTTTCTGAATGAGAAAACATTTTGTAAGCACAAAAGTTATACGTTTGACGTTCGTATTGAGTAATGACAAGTATTTTGTGACATTTATGCACTTTAAACAACGAACATTCAATTTTTTTCCAACGACTACTTGATCCTTCCACCGCTAATGTGATTTTTAGGTAGTATTTCTTTTGAGACTCTTTAGGACGATATTGCTTATAACTTTTAAAAGGGAAGTAATACAGAAAAAATTCTGTAATAAAAGTTTATTAGAAAAAAGAGAGCTTTTTAACAGGAAAAAAAATTGAGTATATTTCTGGAAAAAAATATAATTGATGACGCCATTAATCGTTTCTGTCAAATCCCAAAGATAATACTTTCGATTGTTCACTTTAGCATTTAAAATGGCAGCAAAACGCTCATATCTACAAGTTGCGGGTTGATATAATGATACTATCACTACATTTCAATGTTTCTTTAAATGATATTGGGCAAGCCATTCAATTTTCTAAATATCCCCTTGTGTTTCCTTAAAACGCGTTCTACATCAATAGGAGCTAGGCGAATAGTTAATATTTACTTTGCAATCGCTTGGAGTTTTCGTATTTATTTGTGATGACAGTTTTCGTTGGCAATTCCACAGATAAATGTTTTGGAACCATCGAATAATTAAAGAAACATAAATAAGTAGTAAAAAAATTAACATAAATAATAAATAAAAGAGTAAGTCATACTGCTCTGCTGTGCCAATATGCCGGTAGCCGGTATATTTTTGTATGACTTGAGGTATGTTATTTTAGTCACTGTATGTATTTGATGTCAGTGTGGACGAAATAATTTTCTAATATTTAAAAAAATAATATTGGTATGTGGATAGACATGCCTTGCTAATTGCAACAATAATTTATGTTTAAAATATTTTTTTATTATTTTTTTCATAACAAATAAATAAAAATACTTATTAATCTGATATATTATATCTGAACCATCTTTTAAAATAAATTCATGTTTTTACTAAAAATTATTTGTTAAAACTTTAAAATCATTTCGTTTCTGATTCTCTAAGTTAATGATTTCTGATACAAACCTAGTTTTGGTAAACCATATTACGGTCACTTTACATATTCCAACGAAGTAAACAATTGGATGTAATCACAGAGATGAATCTAGGAAAGTTAAAATAAGTGCTATTAAGAAGTTATAAAATTCTAAACAAACTACTGTTCCTTATTCAGACACATCGTCAGCCGAATATGTGGTAGTCATCTTAAATTAATTCAAAACAGTATAAAGCAGAAACGAAATCAAGCCACGATTCATACGCACGACATGAAAACTATTATAGGATGTGAAGCTATATGAAATCAGGTCTCTGGCGAAGATTACCGTTCAATCTGCTTCGACCAATAGTTTTACAGCAGCACGTACTTGATCACTGTTTACACGATTGGAACAGGCAAGTTGATTTTGCACCTGAAGGTGATAGGCGGTCAAAAAACAATTAATTCGGGATCAGTTTCAAGAATGAATTTTTAATACGTACAGGGTGATCGATTTAACTGAAGAAATGAGTTTTTCTGGTAAACGGCCGAGAAAAATAAATTATTTTTGAAACTATTTCATTTTTGCTTACTTTTACTAGAAGTTACGGCAGAAATACAGAAATTATCTTTACGACACTAAGCGTCGCGGCGTTTCAATTTTTTTTTTTTCAGCGACATACATTTTTTAATATGTCACGATAAAGATCCCTTAATTTTGAATATTTTTTCTATATAACATTTTTTTCCGTTAGCATTATTTAAAAAGTTACAGGCAATTCTCTAGTGAATTTCTCTGGAGAAGCCAAGAAAAATGGCATTACGGGCAAGAAGATTATAAGCACTTAGATATCCCGAAAGATATCTTCCAAATCATAAAATATTTAGCAAATTGGAAAATGTTCTCCGTCAGAATAAGAAATCAGTTTTAGTTTACAGGGTGAGCCAAAAAACAGTAACCGCTGATGAAAATATGGCAATTATAATAAACTATTTTGAAAATCATCCTGAAACATCGATTAGAAAGGCTCCGAGAGAGTTAAATTTGACATATAATGCAATGCAAAAGGGTTTTAGGAATTAACAAATTTCACGATTATAAAATACATAGTGTGCAAGAGTTAAATCCTGGAGATTTTGAACGGCGAAAAAATTTTATTTCTCAGTTCTTAGTTGCATTTAGATTATGATCCTAATTTATATAACCACATTCTGTGGACAGACGAAAGTCATTTTATTAGTCATGGCATTCCAAACCGGAAAAATAGGTACTCATCATTGGTCGGAAGAAAACCCACATAGTAATAGAGAAGTTCAAAAGCAGGGTCACTTTAGTGCCAATGTATGGTGTGGAATTGTAGGGCTCCATTTGATAGGTCCATATTTTTATGATGGTATCTTAACGGGACAAAGATATTGCAATTTTCTTGCAAATGAAATTCCTATTCTTATAAAAAATGTGCCGCTTCAAATTAGGAGACACCTGTGGTTTCAACTGGACGGGGTGTCTTACCATAATGCTGCAGTTGTTCAAAACTATTTAAATTTGCACTTTGAAAATAAGTGGATAGGTACCAATGGCCATTTACAATTTGCTCCGAAAGCCCCAGATCTAACCCCTCTTGATTTCTTTTTGTAATGAGCCCTAAAAAATATTGTGTATAAAACTAAAACAAACAGTATTGATCATTTGAAGCAAAAAATCACTGCCGCTTATGCTGAAATACGTGGCAATATTTTTAAAAAAGTAACGTTCAGTGAACTAAGAAAACGTTACGAATTGTGTTTAAATAATAATGGTGCTCACATTGAACATCTATTAAAACATTAAGTATAATAAATGTTATATAGGAAAAATTTTCAAAATTAAGGGATCTTTATCGTGACATATTAAAAAATGTATGTTGCTGGAAAAAAAATTTTGAAACGCCGCGACGCCTAGCGTCGTAAAAATAATTTCTGTATTTCTGCCCTAACTTCTAGTAAAAGTAAGCAAAAATGAAATAGTTTCAAAAATAATTTATTTTTCTCGGCCGTTTCCCAGAAAAACTCATTTCTTCAGTTAAATCGATCACCCTGTACTAGTCCAGTTGGTAGAGGTTCGGCTTGTGTCAAACCTTGATAACCCGGAAATAACTACACAGGCCTACTTTAAATGATGAGTACAATAACAGGCTAATTTGCTGACAAAGTATTTTATCTGGAAAAAAAGTTATTAACAATTTAATCGTGAAAAAAAAATTTTTTAGTAGTTTTCTTTAAGTAATTCAGCGGGATGACGTTGTACGAAAATATGCTTAGGACATGATTTTGTTCGTAATAAAAATAGCTACAAAATGGCGGTGGTCCGATTACTAAATTTGCAATAACAAAGCCGTGAAATTGAAAAAACGGTATAAAACGTCAATTTTTTAAAGTTGCTGTAAAAATGTCAATTATAAACAAAAAGTGATAAAACTTTCGAAAACTATAGTTCAATATACATATACCTACAATAATGACGCTAAAGCCGAAAATCAGGAGAGCAAAACTTTTTGTTCTATAAGGTTTCATACATCCATCGGCATCTGAAACTCGAAACTTTGCCAAATTTGTTCGAAGCTTTGCTGGCACTTGAAATTTGGTACACACATAGTGTAAATATGCAGAAACCAAAAGCAATTTGCAAAATTCAAGTATCTTCATTTTTGCAGTTTTGGTAAGGTTTTATACGTCATCCTAGTTTTATTTTCGTAATCGGACCACCGCCATTTTGTAGCTATTTTTATTACGAACAAAATCACGTCCTAAGCATTTTTTCGTACAAAGTCATCTCGCTGAGTTATTTAAAGAAAAGTACTAAACAAATTTTTTTTTACGATTAAATTGTTAACTTTTTTTCCTGATAAAATACTTTGTCAGCAAATTAGCCTGTTATTGTACTCATCATTTAAAGTATTCCTGTGTAGTTATTTCCGAGTTATCAAGAAAATGTCACCAACAGTAACTTTTCGATCTCTGCCGACTGGACTATACGTAATTTTGCTGCTTTCCGCGAAAAGTATGTTTTTACTTGAAGCGAAATAGAGTTTGTATGTATGTGTATATGATAAGTTTTATTAAGCTCGATATAGTAAAATATAAAGCAGTATTTGGTGCAGCGTTTTAGTGTAGTATAAAGTTATCTGTTTCTATGTAGTGACGTTAAGTCCCTCAATGAAAAGTGTATCAGTTTTTGTTACAGAACTGCTAAAAAATGACATACCGTTTGCGAAAAACCAAATATAGTTTGTTGCATTGCTAAAATCGTGTAAAATTATGAATTCCATGATTTTAGTCGATGAAATATTTATTGAAAAGTATTTGGGGAGTTTCAGTCTTCTTGGGACACCCTGTATAATATATCACACTGTTGACTTACCTTGTTATTCCGTCCAGTCTCTCAACTGCGTAGACGGCGTTGGAGCAACTCAGGACGCAGGAGCATTTTTCCACAGACTTTATTTCCTCCAAATGCTGGCCAATGCAAGTCATCTTGGCTAACGTACAGTACTTGTACGAGTCGAGCATTGGATAGAAGAAGGGGATGCATCCGCATAGCTTCATCGCTGTGTCCATTCGACACTGTCTGGTACAGGCCGAGTAGGAATAAACGTCGTCCACCTGGAAAGAGGTTTAAGGATAAAAATATCTTTAAAAATACAGAATAATTTAAAATGAAAGCCCTACCAGCGCAAGAACTATGACGTCACACCGTGCATTGTAAGTTGTGTGCTCTAACTAGTATTTCGATATGTTTTGTACTCTTGGTAAAGCGAGTGTACTTATGAATTGTGGATGATATATTTTGTCAGTTTTATGCGGCTATTTAGTTTGGATAAGTATTTATTTTGTATTTTTAACATGAAAAATTTCCAATTTATACGAGTAAATACTGTTTTTCATACAATAATTTGATCGTTACGTCAGAAGAAATATTAGTAAGAGTTTCTAAAGCACCCAAGAAGCGAAAGCAGTGGTTAAAAGTACCGACCGATCCAGAATGATTGAAGCTGACGTCACACTTAAATGTTACCAAAGATATTAAAATTGACTTCCATTTGATCAAAATTACTTTCCGTTTTCTTAGATTTCCGACCGACACGATATGTCAATTCAGAGACGTTCGTGCCTCTCCTGTGTGCTTGCTGTTGTATTTATTTGTGTTCGACGATTATTTTTTATTTGAGTTTATCGTTGATCTTCTAAATAATCAGTGTTTTTCAACGCTAATCATCTAGTCCAAGCATTCTGTCACGGATTAATGTTAAATTTGCAGAAATTATTACCTGGACAAAAAAAATATGACCGTATAGAAAATTAAATTTTAAATTGAGTTTCTTGTTCTTTAAACTCGATCCAAAATGGCGAACATGGTTAAAAAAATTCTTTTATACTCAATCTGGGGTAGCTAAACACGAATATTATAGTAATTTTCGTCTTAGAAGCAAAATAGTCCCGTAAATGTTTAGTTTTTATTTAACTTATATATATATTTTTTTACTTTTATTATACTTCTTCACGAAAATATGGACGACGAACAAGAAAATGAATCAATAGACAATCCGACAAAGAAAAGAAGAAATTCATTCGATAAATAATTTTATCTATATAGGATACTTGTTAGTTTTCATTGTAATAATTTTATAGATATTTTATACATAGTTGTATAATTATTAAATATTTTTGTAAATAAATTAAATTCTTTAAACTTATTTTACACCAAAATTAATTAATATTGAAATGATGAAGTAATTGTTAAAAAGCCAGCAACAAGTACAACGTCAGTGTGATTAATGAAGCAAAAAAATATTAAAATGACGATAAATGCAAAAAAATATAAGTTAAATAAAAACTAAACATTTACGGGACTATTTTGCTTCTAAGACGAAAATTACTATAATATTCGTGTTTAGCTACCCCAGATTAAGTACAAAAGGATTTTTGTACGTGGTCCAGAAGCCGAGATATCAAAGATTTTGCAAGCGCGAGCAATTTAGACTGCACGTCATCAGTTTTCAGAGCGAGCGCGCATGTTCCCCCTACTCCTCCGGCCGGTCCAGCTGACGCACTCAGCGCTTGCACGCTTCAGTTTATTACTCAATGACTAATACTAAAGATTAAGTAAACATATCCAATTTTTTTTTTGAAAATATAAGTATTCAATATTAACCTCCATCAAGCGCATCGCTGTAAAATGTTAATTGCGTCCTCAAATTTTTTTTTTAAATAAAAAAATTATCTCGGCCCCAGAAGGTGGTAGAAAAACATTTTTTTTAAATTCGTGAAAAAATGTCAGCAGTTTCTTTCTTTAAAAGTCATCTTCATAAAATAAAAATTGAAATAGTTATTTGAAAAAAACATACCCAAAAAAAGTTCAACTTTTTCAGTCATTTTTTGATCCTTAAAATTAATAAAATCGTCAACATTTTTTAACAGTATAATAATATAACTCTTTACGAAGAAAATAAATCGAAAATCGTCACTGTAGGGCTATCCGCTGAGAAGATCTAGCCAATTTTCGAGAGCGCCTTTTTTTCAAAAAATCGATATATCTCGAAAAATAATTAATATTTTTAAATTTTTCAAAAATGTACTTTTTTGTGTTGCCGCGGGCTATGCTTGCAGTAAATAGCAAGTATGGGAACGTATATGTAAACGAGTTATAGAAGAAGAGAAAAGAGAAGATTTTTAACGGTTTATTCAATATATCTCGAAAAGTAACAAAGCAATCGATACTTACAAAAAATCAGTCGATAGATCTTTTTAAAATCTACAACTTTCTCACAATTTTTCAATCGGTGCTATATTATTTTAGTTATCTTAGAAAAACCGTTTTTTGCAACTTTGCGATTTTTTTTAACTATGTTCGTCAGTTTGGATCGAGTTTTAAGAATAAGAAACTCAATTTAAAATTTAATTTTCTATACGGTCATATTTTTTTTTGTACAGGTAATAATTTCTGTAAGTATTTCTCTATAATGCTTGGACTAATCTGTTAAATGTTAGTTTTGTGGTAAGGAAGCAAATACTGATGGTTACTTCGATATAAAGTATTCGAACTGTTTTAGGTTAACAAATGGTCTTTTTATTATTAGAAAACGATAAGTTTATTGTAAAGGCCTACTTTCAGAGTAGTCAACGAGATGAAAATGGATGGAATTATTCAATCCATTCATGGTTTTTGCAATTCCAGGAAGAATTTCCAAATCCTGACGCCGCAGATTATAACATTTTTGTTCAGTATGTTCGACGTTTGCTGACACGATTCAGAAATACTGGCAGTGTTGTTAACTGAAGATAAACTGGAGAATGTTAGAGAGTGTTTTTATTTAATCCATTTCTTTAACAAATTAATAAAACCCTCAAATTAATTAATGCCAACATTCTGCTTTTTGTGATTAAAATAAATATGTGACCCTATTGCCACTGCACTTATCCCGCCACTGAACTAAGTAAATCACTGTCAGTATTGCCAACTACGAAGAGTGAAAATGATAGTAGAGCGGCACACAAATCATTTGTAAGTAGCGGCACCATCAGTTATTCTGGATCTCTCGGTATATATGGAAGAGCAGTTGATAGTAATATTAATAATAATAAATTGAATATTAGAGTCGATGTCGATAGAACGACAAAAACCATATAAATAAATTTCAATTTTCATATGTATTTCAATTGCGTTTAATATCAGTTTACTAACTTTTACACTGAATTAAAATTTCGTGTAAGTTCGTCATTCAAACGTCTGGAGCAGTGCATTAACATTTAGACGAAACGGTAATGTCAGACAAGACCGAATTTATAAAGGGCCGTATACATACATAAAATCTTACTTATAATAAATTCCTTTTAGAAGTTTCAAACAGAATAGCGGAGTCCATTAATTAGCACCGTTTTAATAAAGCAACCAAGAGAAACACAAAGCGCTTTCTTGAAGATAGTTTTTCATCTAATTGCCCTGGATTATAACGCAAAGTGTAAAGTACCTTGTTTTCGTTGAGTCTGGGGGTTTTAGTGTAAAAAGTAATTATAAAAAATGAACCTGCCAGCAAGACGACTCCATAGTTTTCATTAAATTACAATTAAAATTGTCTCCATATAACTAAATTGAGAATTATACGTGTACTAATGTGGTCAAAAACACTTTCAATAAATCAAAAGCAAAGCATGCGAACTGTTCAGCTACTGAACCACTTCATTCAGGTCATTAAAAAAAATGAGGTGAATACCTTTATTGCTTGCTTTTTGTTGCGAAAGTGTGAACATATTGGTATCTCTCACGTAACAAGTTTGTCTACATCCATCATTAGAAAAATTGCATGAAATTCAGTATAGAAGTTGATAAAGTCCAACAGAACGATATCTCGGTTGTGACGTCACACCGTTCTATCAACATCGACACGACACATGTTGCATTGTCCTTTACTAACCTACATTTTTACTTTATTCCTATATTATTACCCAATTCTTGTATTAGTGAGCAATATTTCGTGGTTGTTGTAAACTTTATTGATGATTTTATTAGTGATTTGTAAACTATAGTGATGGGGGTTTTGTAATGGCCCAATCTGATAATTTGTTTACTGAATAATCATTTAGTCTTCTTCATCATCTTTTGAACTGATGTAAACATAGAGTGAAAACAGATACGGAGAGCACGTGTTTTGTTAGTTTCGTTTTATTACACAGTCAGCAAAAAAATCAAAGGAACAGAAAAATTTACAAATTTTTTTAGTGAATTTTGAAAGGCTGTAACTTTGTGAATAATGGTCATATCTAGAAAAAAAGAAGCATCTTGAATCTTGAAGATTCTAGTTTTGAAATCTTGAGATGAAAATTTTTTTGGCATCACTCTCGGTGCAATCAAAAGAAATAATGCAAGGCAAAAATTTTACAATTTTTTTTTTCAAAACGGAAAGTTAAGATCTTCAAGTAGGTTTAGCGTCGCCACAAGGCCGCCCTTCGGAGAAGGGCCCATGAAATTTAGCAATATTTTTTTGTATAAGTTCACTTAGACAGTCGGTGCCATGTGTTGAGCATCTGGTATATAGAGAAAAATCGATATTTCAAATAAGGCGCGAAATGCATTCCAAAGAGCGTAGGAATTTCAAGAATAAGTTGTTAGAAATTGTTAGAAAAATAATAATTGATCAAATAGCTTGTTTTTAGGCGGATTTTCCAAGCTATAAGAATAGATTAAATGAGATGGACTAATCCGTCCCGTATTGCTACACGGAGTCACTAGAGGAAGGCTAGGGTTACTTGTAAGTCCAGTTAGTCACAGAATTATTTATATAAAAGCAAATTCAGTCCATTAGATAACTATTAACATAGCATAGTTATGCTAAAGCGTACCGATATTCAGGGTTCCCGCCAGTAAGATAAGAACATAAATGTCTGGACCCAAGAAATGGGCGTGTCGAAGCGAGGTGTCGAATTAAGGAGAGATCTCCGAAAAAACAGGCAGTTTTTCCTTGGGTTCCACATTGAGCAGTCTACTTAGTTTTAGAGCCTCGGGTTAATTTAATAATGGATAAAATCATTCCAAATTTTGCTATGGATCGCGCATTTCCTGAATCGGTATGCTGTCGCGTGTCAATAAATTAATTAATAATGTTGTTCGAGCCCGTTATGTCGTTATTTTGTTTGTTTGTTTTGTTTTATTGTTATTAAAGCCCTTCCTGGACGTTTTGCTGAAAATTGTTAATCTTACGCCTCTGTAATGTACAACTTTTTTGTTCATTTATGATTACTCTATCTCATACTGAAGTAGTAAAACTTCTTATATTCTGCATACAAATATACGAACCTTCAGCTTAATTTCATCGGGAAAAGCGCAGTGCCTCTGCTTGATGCTCAGCTGTCTCGCGTCCGGCGTGGTGTAGGTCTGCTTCACGGAGAGGGATATCATATCGACGACGCCGCTCCATACGTGCTGGGGCTGCATATCTATCCCCGCCACCTCGTCCGAATTGAGTATATAAATCTGGAAGGCAATTAAAAGGTTACAAGACTGTCTATTACCCAAGCCTGGGGCGTGTTGTTTCAAGAAAATGCAAATAAGCTCGATGCAGATACGAACAGTTTCATTACTGCGACTGGCTCTGCGGTGAGTGGTTTATATTTTTCTCTGTTTAGTGTCTAGTCAGGCTGAATGGTGTCGCTTGGAATAAGTTATCTAAGATCCCTAGAAACATAAATTGTAACATTTAATCTTCTACATTATGATTTTACATTATTACACTATTTTTTTGAGGTTAGGCACGAACTCCCAGAGAACTACCAGAGTTGGTTTCAGTGATCCCGAAAACATAAATTGTTGTGGTTAGACTCTTCGAGCATATACCCACTAGAGGCAGCCTTCAATGCTAAATGAGCGAACAAACGTGCAAGAGAGAAAGCATATAAAACCACAAGCTATCTCTCTCACTCCGTAAATTTTATTGGGTGAGAATCAGACCCCGTGATTCCCCTCCAACACCTCACATTAATTAGATTACATTTATCAATTTGCAATTTAGTTTTTTCAAAAATTATAATTTTAAAGTACCCGGAAAGACGCTTCTTTTTTTTTAAAAAAAAAGAAATTCCGTTTATTGGTTCTCGAGATATAAGCGGTCAAAATTTATTGGCATTTACCGTTAATTTAGCAAACAATTTACCAATAACACAGCCCCACAAAAAAAAAAGTGTTCAGACTTGTGGGTCGGACATATGTATTCCCATGTATTTTTTGACGCTGAATCCGATCCCGAGCTCAGAAATGGCCCTCCACGTCTGGAATTGGCCCCAGGGGCCAAAAATGGCCTCTATAGGGCCTGAAAGATGGATTCCGGGATGAGGCAAGGTCGAAGGTGCATTCTAAAGCCAAAGCCGGATTTGTGGTCGAAAAGTTTATGGCCAACTGAAATTCCCCGTTTGGGACCGGGAAAATGACCCCTTAGGGGCCTGAAAATCGTGTTTCGGACGTCGCAATCGCAACAGTGGTATTTTTATGTACTTTTAAATTCTGGAACTCAAACTGTGCTCGAATTCCAGAATTTAAAAACCATTTAACACCACTGTTGCGATTGCGACGTCCGAAACACGATTTTCCGGCCCCTAAGGGGTCATTTTCCCGGTCCCAAACGGGGAATTTCAGTTGGCCATAAACTTTTCGACCACAAATCCGGGTTTGGCTTTAAAATGCACCTTCGACCTCACCATATTCCGGAATCCATCTTTCAGGCCCTATAGAGGCCATTTTTGGCCCCTGGGGCCAATTCCAGACGTGGAGGGCCATTTCTGAGCTCGGGATCGGATTCAGCGTCGAAAAATACATGGGAATATATATGTCCGACCCACAAGTCCGAACACTTTTTTTTTGTGGGGCTGTGTAATCTTTGATCCATTGTCTTCGTTTCTATGTGAAAAATTTTTTAAGTATCTAGATGCTTTATTTGAGGCTGTACAAAATTTTGAAAATTCGAAAATTTCTTCAAATTTTTTTAAAAAAAAATTATTTTGCGAAAACTATCAAACCAATTTTAATTAATGGTGTGTTGTTTTATTATACCATAAAGTTTTTTTTACCAAAATTAGAATGCCCTCGGAGAAATTAAAACATTTAAAGAAAACTTGATATTTTTGCCTTTTCTTCATCAATTATTGCTATTTTGCAACATCAGTAATAAATTTAAACATTTTAACATACAGTATATTGTGCAAAATTCAATTCTGAAACTTTTTTCCTTTTCAATATTCTTCCAAAATCCATAGGTTCCAAGATATAAGTAAAACACTCAGATAAAATAGTAATTTTTTAAACATTTTGCAATTTTGAAAATGTTCCGGACCTCGCCCAGATCTAGGGATCTACACTTTTATTATGTGCGTTGTACTGAAGGTAATCCAGAAAGAATTTGATTAGCCCCTTTCACATCCACCTCAAAACAGATGATCGCCTTGATCTAACAGTGCCTATTTTTATGTTTCTTATCTATCAATGTTGCTCATTGAACAGAATTTTCCATGATAGCGGACGCCATACTAGATTTTATTCTGGACAGCCCACTGTGCCCATTGACGTGAAACGTCCGATATACTTATATGTTATTCAATTTTTTTGTTATTCTACTGGATCAAGCATTTTTTGCATCAGTTGATATACAAAATAGTTTTTGAACAGTTTCTTATACAATAACCCAAAATTTTAATCTAAAACAACACAGACAACAAAATGTTAATGGTCTTTTCGTAAGAAGAGTTCAATTTTAAAAGATGAAAATAGTATGATGTCCCTAAGCGTATGTGGTGACGTCACCTGAGAGAAAGGGAGGACATGGCATATATTGGTATGAAGATGCAACTTTCTCTCGTTTTTCTAATAATTTAGAACTATTGTAGCCTAAACATTATCATATCATTCATTTTATTATACAAAACAGGTGGTGTTTCCTTAAACTTGAGACAATATTTAATGTTACGTTCAGCTTTTTGGTAGAGGAATCCAATTAGACAGTGCTACTTGTCATTTTAATATAAATACCAATAACATTTGTAAATTTAAGTTGTAATTATTTTATTTCACTAGAGACTAAACTAAAATTTATTCACCACAATTCATTCATTCAGAAATTTGCATTTAGTCACTAAAATCTAACCTGTAACACATCTACAAAATTGCAACTGTTGGACAAAGCAAGTTATTGGATCTGCAGATGTTACAGGGTGTTTTTGAAATAAGTGCGTTAATTGAAAAGGGCGATAGAGTGCACGAAAATGAGCAGCTTTTATTAAGCAATTGATTACATTACGTTTTAATATTGAAAAAAAAAATGTTCACATGAAGGTTTAAACAACTTTAAAGTCGTTCCTGATGCGGCAGCCAGTCGTCCTTTGATGTCGAAGCTGCCGCGCACATGCACAAGATGCACAGGATCTGCGTATGTTTATGGTTAATTTTTTTAATTAATTTTGTCGAGAACAGAAACATTTAGACCACCAGTTGCTTAATAAAAGTTGCTCATTTTCATGCCCCCTACCGCCCCTTTTTCAAAAGTCTTGTTGCAAAATATACGACTTTTATACTGCAACACAATAGCGTTTTTCTTTTATCTGAAATAATCATGTTATTTTTTCTTATTTGGACTGACGCTCGTACTCCACGATATGCGCGCCCCCAAAATCTAAAACGACTAAAAAAGATCGAGCCATTAGCGCAAATTTTTACAAAACGTCCGTTTTATCTATTTGCGAGTCTCTGGCCCGGCCTCATTAAAACTTGAGCAATGGTCGTTCGTATGAAGATTTCTCTCCCTCATAAAATATCCCGATATGTTTTCGAGTCGGGCCGAGGCTACATTTAAGCTGGATATTATCTAGGCGTAAACTATTCCAATTTATAAGTCTGGATTGCGGCGCTTTGACAAAATCGCGAACGATTCATGTCGCAGTGGGAATAATGGGTCTGTGGGGTTCTTAAACTGTAATAAAGGACAAAATAACTCAATTTCAGTCCAATCATTTCCAAATTTAACTTAATGACCGTTCAGAAGTGCTGCTCCTAGCAGATATTCTAACTACACATGGGGGAAAGCGGCGCACAGTGTGTCTATTTTAACAAACTAGCGGCACTTCATGAAAAAATCTTATTTTTCTTGTGTCAACCAGGTGCCAAGAAAGAAGGCAATGCACTGGAAGAAATCATCCAAGTATTGCGTTTTTCTGGGATATTTTAACTAGTACTAGCAAAACAATAGCAAACACAACAAAAAAATCATGTTTCCAAAAGTAAATGCATTTTGCTGGACAATGTACTGCAACAAAAAATGTCTTGTCCCTGCTTGACAGCTCACTTAGAATTATATTTTATTCAATTGTCGATCTGTTTCCAGTGAGCTCCTCTTATTCTGTAAATTTGAAATTACGTATTATAAAAAATACAAAGTGTTAATTTAAGTACCTCTACAAACTTTTAGGTGCGATTCTTCGATTTTAAGTCAAAAATATTATTTAAATATCGATAGTTTTCGAAGTACAGGGTGTTAATATTTTTAAAAAGATTTAATCTTTTCTAAAATGTCTCTGAAGACGTTTGATGCAGAATAATGAAACTCAGGCTAGTAACTTATCTAATTAAGGAGGTATATCGGGGTCCGAGGGAAGTGAGGATCGCAGGGGGGTGCTATGCTTTTCTTATGGGACTAAAACCCGCTACAAACTTGAAAAAATTAAATTTTATTGAAATTATTTGCGATAAACATTATCTATATAGCAAATAAATCTACTCAATATGCACATAACATACATATTGAAAATTAACAACATACAAATATCATATTTAAGGAGCTTTAAATTATATTTAATGAACGCATAAACACTATGTAGATGTGGCAACAGCGTTAATAATCGACTGCAGTTGTACACACTGCGTCAAATTCGGGTAAAGATGCGTACGCGTTCAAAAATGTATTGTGTGTAAACTATGCACAATATAATTATTATATATAGCAAATATATCGTATTATCCTCGCGAAGATTTGTATCCTTTATTTAAAATCCGTAAATCATGTGAACTGGTAAAACAACGAGAATTATGTTAATTTAGTTCTAAAGAAATGAAATGACACTCGCGCCCATCTCTCGTCCAAGTCAAAGAAAATGTTGGATGCAATTTTGAAGGTTCTGTGATAGAAATTACATTATTACTCACTGTTCGTGTTTTTAATCTCTATTTTAGTAATGTTACAAAAGTTTTGCAACTATAACTAATTTTTTAGATATAAAGTTTGCTGAGAAATATTTATGTTCCTTTGTTATTCCGTACAAATGCTTTTATCTCAAGTATTACTAATTATATTAATCAAGTAAAGAAAACTTTATGTAACCCTAAATATTGCTGGGTAATGATTACGATGTTTTTATAAACCATTAAATATATTAAAAGGATTTATCAACTGTATTTTTTATTCCAATAAATATATCACAGCTTCCTAGTCTTTTTTAATTAATCTAGTTTTTTAAAAACATTACAAAAAATCATCTGTTGTGGATAATTTATTGTTGATAACAATGTACATGGGATTTAGGAAAAATGTATATGTTTGAAATCAATTTCGTTTTTATCAAGTCTTTCAAATGTATTCCCTCCTTGCTGTCAGCTGATTGCGACGTTGCCACATTAATCCTCAAGTCAGACAGAAATGCAATTATTGGTTTCTGTTTCTAATTAATACAGCTGTACTATGTTCAAAACTTACATTAGTTTTACATCAAAAATAAGATAATACTGTGTACTATCTATGGAAAAGTTTTGTTTCACAATTTCTACATTTTTTTCTCAGTTATGGGCAAAGAAGAGCCGCACCGTCCATCTTCGC